CCATGCATGACACTTCTGTCATGTCACCTTTTACTTGCCCTTTAAGCTAAAAACCCAAAAGACTGTAACCTTTCCTAATTAGGGGAGGTTCTCCATCCCCTCGATCATTTTCGTTGCCCGTTCCTGAACCTTTCCCAATTCTACAATATCTTTTTTGAGGTGAGGTGACTAAAACTGTACACAATATTCCAGATGTGGCCCCACCATACATTCTATAATGGTGGCTTTCTTTTCAATCCCTTTCTTAATGGTCCCTAAGATGGAATAATAATAATAAATAATAATAATAATAATAATAATAATAATAATAATAATAATTTATTTATTATTTATACCTTGCCCATCTGGCTGAATTTCCCCAGCCACTCTGGGCAGCTCCCAATCTAGTGTTAAAAACAATACAGCATTAAATATTAAAACTTCCCTAAACAGGGCTGCCTTCAGATGACTTTTAAAAATAAGATAGCTGCTTATTTCCTTGACATCTGATGGGAGGGTGTTCCACAGGGCGGGTGCCACTACCAAGAAGGCCCTCTATCTGGTTCCCTGTAACCTCACTTCTCACAATGAGGGAACCGCCAGAAGGCCCTCGGCGCTGGATCTGTGTCCGGGCTGAACAATGGAATTCATCTCTTTAACAGCTGCTGTACACTGGATCAACTTCTTCACCAAATTAGCCAAGGTCTCATTGCTGGTCAGTTAGCACCAGTTCGGATCTGATAATAAATAATACTAATAGTAATAATAATATATTATTTATACCCTGCCCATCTGACTGGGTTTCCCCAGCTGCTCTGGGTAGCTCCCAACATAATGTTAAAAACACAATAAAACACCAAACATTAAAAACTTCCCTATACAGGGCTGCCTTCAGGTGTCTTCTAAAAGTGAGATAGTTGTTTATTTCCTTGACATCTGATGGGAGGGCATTCCACAGGGTGGGCATCACTACTGAGAAGGCCCTCTGCCTGGTTCCCTGTAACTTCACTTCTCGCAGATATGAAATAAGTTTTTTTAAAAATATATTTCCCCCCAGCTTACATAACTTCACTGGCCACTCACTCATTGCGAAAGGTCTTTTTGGAGCTCTTCACAGTCCCTTTTGCTTTTAACCACCCCAAACAATTTAGCATCATCAGTAAACTTGCCTACCTCCAAGCTCACCCCCCCCTTACTCTAGATCAGGATTTCCCAAACTTGGGTCTCTAGCTGTTTTTGGACTACAGTTCCCATCATCCCTGACCACTGGTCCTGCTAGCTAGGGATGATGGGAGTTGTAGACCAAAAACAGCTGGTGAACCAAGTTTGGAGACCCTGCTCTAGATTGTTTATGAGAAAGTTTAAAACAGCACAGCTCCCAATACTGATCCTTGAGAGACTCCACTTCCTAAATCCCTTCATTGGAAGAACTGTCCAATGTATCATTGCATAATGTAGTACTGTACATATGTGCTGATCTGATCAGCTGGCTGTGACAGCAACAGAAACACAATGGAAACTCTGGAGTCAGGGGTTCTTGTATATACAACAGAATAAGCATAAACAAATTAAACACTAAACTTGCTGGAACTGCTCCTTGCTTAGTTCCTTGGAGCTGTCAGCACATGTAGCGTCCTCATTTAGCAAGCATTCCATGATTTGACAGGCAGTTTCCAAATAGGCTACATTCCAACTGGCAGAGGAGTGCAGCTCACTTCCAGATCTACTCCCTCACAGAACAAAAGATATACCATTCTTTTTAAAGTTGTATTTTGCATTGTTTCACAAGCTGTTGTTAGTAATCATATTCATTTAGGGAAATCATGGATTTAATTAAGGGGAGGGGGAGACCTTTATAACTTGCAATGTTGTTTGTCAGGCTTCACTAGTTGCTGACAGGTCTACCCAGAAACATAGCATGCAACTGTAAAAGCTAATGTAGTGTGAAGCATTTAGTGAAATGCCATATTTTAAACAATACGAATGAATTATATATAATACAAGGTACAAATATTATCTATCATATATATATACCGTAATACAGGGTACAGATATAATCTATCATTGCAATGAGTAGTTTAGTCCTATATAAATCCCAGAATAGGCTTTATGTAGATTGCTCTACGGTAACTTCATAATCGAGTGACTGGCCACATTTGCATGTAACGATAAACCATGGCTAGTTTAAACAAACCATGGTCTGACGTTGTCTTGAAATCGCCCCACGGGAAGGGAGATTGTTACATGAGATTACAACTTTTGACTTGCTAATGAGTGTGCCCCGTTCAAAGAAAGTGAACTATGCTGCTTCAAAACCCTCACAGCTGAAAAAAAACTTCACAAATGAAGAAGTTCTGTAAATGAAACAAATGTTTATAAGTGCACTGATACCTGCCTTAAAAAACTCCTCAGTCATGAGTCACTTAAACATCACAGTGTTGAGGTGCCAAAAGCATGGCCATTAATACAAAGTTCCTAGTTAAAGTATGTCCAAAATGCCATTTAACTTACATGGTCTACACATTAAGGAATACTAAGTATTCACTTCATATTCATACAGCGTATTATACAGACCAAAGCAACAAGATGTGATCCAATAATGAACATAGCAGGAAAGTCAAACCTAGCTCTTGTTCACTTCAAATCTTGATGAACGTGTTTTTTCCCCTTCTCATCTTGAACAAATGAAGCTTGGTGTGACGTTACATGGTCTGACCAGGTTTATTTTCCTATTTTATTTACATTGCAGAGCCTTTTATTACGTTGCCAATCCAGTTTGGAGAATTATACTACAGGTTTAGGAATTTATAACCCATTACTAATCAGTAAGAAATCTATTCCTATTTTTCACATTATCTTTCCATATCACAGGACCTTGCATCTAAATTACTCTGAAAATATAACGTAAAAGCAGTTAATATTTGCTTAAGAATATGTAGATATTCAGAGGCTCTGTGTGTGGCTTCCTGGAATCTGCCCCTTCCCCCGCATAATGTGTTTTAAGAACATGTTAGGCAAAGGAGTGAAAAATAGGAAATAGGCATCTCTGGCACAAAGCAAAACAGAAAGCCATAGAATGGAACCATGAAACCCAATAATTCTGGAAGAGATCAAAATGAGCAAAAAGTCATGGAATTCATTTCTAGGGGGGTTGTTCAGTTCTACTGGTACCATTCAAGAAACCTGTGGCACTACCCATTCGCTTGCCAAATATTTTAAGCTCAGAAGCAGTAAATTGATTCCAGTGGAATGCTTGATGAACAAAAAGTGACTTGTACTTCATAGCTGTCAAGTCCCTTATTTGAAGGGACAGTCCCTTATTCCAGCGCCATGTCCCGCTGCTGTCCCTTATTGATGGATGTCCCTTAAATGTCCCTTAAATGATGTCCCTTAAATTTCAAAGGAAGCAGCTCCTCTCCCTCCCTCCCTGCCGGCCAGGGAGGAGGGAGGCTCCAACTGTGTTGCTTGGCTGTGTTGCTCACCCAATAAGAAATCTAAGAACGACTGGGGGGTGGAGCTTGCATGCCTTGTGCTGGTCAAATTGGCTGCGTTCCCTGGGGACTTGCCTTTGCTCAGCGCTTCCCAGCGGAGAGGTGATGGTGGTTTTCCTTGAGGCTTCGTTTGGCTGCTGGCTGGGCTTTCTGCCTTTGGCTCAGAGGGGCTCAGAAGTTGAACATACCTGTGCTGAGTGCTCGGATCGGAATCAGATAGATACGTTATCGACGGCCCACTCACCCTTGCCGGCGAAAAGGTCTGTCTGGAGCGGGAGCACATGGTGGGGGAAAAGGAAAGGAGATCTCGTGGGGGGGGGAGGATGTGTGTGTGTGGCTAGTTAATGCAAGCTGAGGGGGTTTTTGAATGCCGGATGCCATTTTGCACGTGCTGCTGCAAACTTTGCAGTGCAAAGCCAGGTCGGGGAGCCATCTTAAGTTGAGGCTGCATAGGCCTTGTGGTACATGTGATTCAGATTCTATTCAGTTGAACCTCTGGTTACAAAGTTGGTTGGACAGTGTTCTCGAAGCTACCAGCATGAGTTTGACCAGACTGCAGGAGGACAGGAAGACTGGAGTGCTTGGAACAGGTGAGGCTGCAGGTCCCTTATTTTGGCTGCTGGTCCCTTATTTTCAAGGCTGCTGATCCCTTATTTTCAAATCTGTAAGTTGACAGCTATGGTACTTATCTCAGTGCATTTACATACATACAGAGGGAATTAGCAGTGTCTGCAAAGCCTGGTGTTTCTAGAAGCACCATGCATCATGGCAGCTCTTGCAAAGCCTTTGCAAGCACAGCGATCAGCTGGTTATCAGCATCTGCAAAGCCGTGTGGGCTTTGCAGCTTGATTTCAAACTGTGTGAGAAAGGGGAAATGTCACACGCGACATCAGGCAGTTGTTAAGTCTACAATCCTGCCCACCCATTAATGTTGTTTGGCCTACCTAAATAAATAAATGCCTACCTAAATAAATCAATAAAATCTGTTTTGGATATTAGCTAGTTCAGGCTTCACCAACCTGATGCCCTCCAAATGTTATAGACTACAACTCCCATGAGCCCCAGTCAGGAAGGCCCAATGGTCAGGATTGATGTGAGTTGTGGTCCAAAACATCTGGAGGGCACCAGGCTAGTGAAAGCTGTCAAAAGAACACATAATGGAAATCAGGGGGTACACCCCCAGCCCACAACAGACAAGATACTGGTACACACACTCCTCTCTCCATAAACACCTGATGGTTATATCATGCTCTATAATGTCCTCATACAGCATTTCAGGCTCCTGTGTAAATTTTCAGATCACCAAAAAATGCACTTGGATAGAAATCTTAGGACAGTACCAAGTAAGAATGCATGTCTGTTTAAATCAGAAAGCTTATTATGTGTCAGATGTGAAAAAATATGGCAATGCAAATTATACAATAAGCCAGTTGTATGTTTAAATTGCAAAAACAAACATCATAAATCCACAACAAGGAGTTTAAGTCTTACCTCGCCTTGATCAGCACATTCAGTGTCTCTTTAATCAGATTAATGGTGGGATATGCTTGTCATAAACACGGGTGAGATAGTTTTGTAGAAGAGGCAGAGCCAAGTTAATTGCCTGTGATATGGATGCTGCCTTGCTTGCTTCCTAGAGACGAAAGGTATTGTTTTGCATTTGTGAACCATCTGTATCACCTAGGGAAAATAACAGTATGCATGAACTTAGGTCATCCACACTACTGTATAATATATTACTGCCACTTCTCAAAGCTAGTCATCATTTAGCTTTAACCAACACACACGCTTTACCAATAAATCCCTATAATTGTCTGTGAGTATTCTAAACACAGATTATGGTTTACAACAAAACCACTGCATACAAAGTAACCAGTGTTATATTAGTTGCTTAGTTCTATAGCACTTCATAGTTTGTAAACAATGGTTACCTTTTCTTGTGGAGCAAAAACATTGTCCATAAATTTCATCACCATCTTTCTAAATGGCACTGCAGCACTATTTTTTTTATTAGACCGCACGGAGGCATTTCACAGGGTCCATTGCCATTAGCAATAGCAAACGTCACTGTCTTCCATTTGATGTAAATAATAGATAAGGTACTTGACTGCCTGTGTTCAGTTTGATCGGATATCAAAATTATATCCCAAGGGTCAAAAAGTATCCGTTCCTCCCAGAACACAAATAGATGGCATGAGAATGAGTAGCCAGCTGTCCAACAATTCCTTTTAGCTCCTTCCTTTCTACCTCCTTTTCTAGACCCCATCACACCTTAAGGGCGGGGAGAAAATTTTAACACCTAGTGCAAAGCCTACACGCCACAATTAGTGTAAGAATGCTAGAATAAGAAAAGGGCACTGTGGCAACTCCTCCCCACTTACACACATATAACACTTTATAAAGATGGCTTCCCACTTGTCTTTATTATGCTACAAGAAACCAGCGCTCCCCACCCCCAGGTGAAGCACACAGGAGTCCAGCATTCCTCCACCCACTTCTTGACTTTACATACTTCCAAGAAACCCAAAACAAACATTTTCAAGTCAATATGAGAGCTGGCCAGCATATGTGATTCTACACTTTTTTTCAGATCTATGACTCCACCTAGCTGCTCCTAGCTGCTCCTAGCTGCAATTGGTCAAGCTACGGGGCAGGAACAAAATCCACCTCCCGTGTAGCAGCAGCCGAGGGCTTTAAGATCTACCGTTGCAAGCACATGAGTTTGCACAATGGCCCTTCCAAAATGCCCTAGCCATCCTCTTGAATCTAAGAGAATGAGGGCAGCAGGGGCACATTTATTTGACCTGCACCAGAACCAGGGGCAACCCCCAAACCAGCTAGGGAGACAGCTTGCCATAGTTTTTAGCACCTCCATGGATGGTGAATGTGACTGTTGTCAAACCGGCATCTGTTTGTTCAGGGCTGTCCCGAGTCACCCGGCAACTTACTGTAACAACTTCATGCTGAGTTCCAGCACCTACTTTTCTTGGGAAAAAAGTACTGCAATAAACTAATGGACAACAAAAGACAAGAGAAAAGGAAAAGGAAAACAAAAAAGGCCCTAGCCAGGTCCTGGGGCTGAAGACTGCATAGAATTTGTATTTAATGCCCTTATTTATTTCCAACTAATCTCAATGTGTGTGTTGATTATGCTGTTTGGTGATGAGGAAGGGCTACTCTGTTTATTCTCAGAGGCACCTCCTATAATGTTAATGACATGAAATAGGCTTAAAAAATTATGCATAGTATAAAGTGAATTTTTATTATAAGAGTGGCTGGGGAAACCCAGCCAGATGGGTGGGGTATAAATAATAAAATTATTAATAATACTAGCACTTAAATTGATTCAGGACAGATAAAAGAAGACTTCTTGCCACAATGCAAACTATGTATCGAATTTACTGCATGGAAAAGTGGTAACTAATGACCAGAAACTGCCCATTTACTCCATCACAAAGTAAAAGCTATGGTAGATATATATATTAAAAAAATTGATGTATGAGAAGGAAATGTGTTTGAGTTGAAGGTCAGGTTAAAAAGTATTATGGATATATTCTCTTTTGCATTTAATTTAATGTATCTGAGATTCTAATGTTATAGTTATTCCCTTTATCTATCAAGTCTCTGTCTGCCTTTCTCTCTCACACACACCAAAAATTAACTTAAGTAAAATAAGTCCCTCTCCTTTAAAACATCTGTAAAGTAAAGGGTAGATTTTATCAAGAAAGAAAATGGCATGGGGGATCAGGGTTACTCCCAATGCAGTATTCACAATTAAAACAATTAAATAAATATGTGATTTTCAATAGCTTGGCTATGTTAAGTTTGATAGCATTACTCTGGCACCATCTTCTGGCCCTTTGCAGTAGAGTTTTGACTGGTTTGCATAAAGCTAAAATTTTAGGCAGAGTTTAGTGCCTATTGAAATAAATGATCTTAGGAGGCTCTACTGCTGCTTGGTGCCAATGATGGCTGGTGCCACTAAAAGATCACAGGGGTGTGGCCAATGAGAGATCACGGGGACGTGGCCACGTTCTGGTTTTCTCCATATTCTCCTCTCTTGGAAAGATACTGTGGGCACTCAAGCATTGCTATTTTACAGATACTTAACTAAACTCCAAAAGTCTTACTGCCGTTCAGAAGAGGATCCTGCTGCCACAACTGCTTCTCTGCTGGGACAAAAGTTTTCCACCTGTTCTGGCTCTCATCCTTATCCTCCTCCTTTGCAAAGAAACAGTGAATACTTAACCACAGTTTTATTAATACTTAGCACCCAAGTGTCTATTTTGGTTCTGAAGGCATTTTTGCTGTCGCAACGTCTACTGTAGATTCATGCCACTATAACTATACATTACTCGTAGTTAAACCTCACTATTGCCAGTTGTCTAGTATTTTCTTTCAAACTTTCAGGAGATATGAATGTTGACCTTATAGCAGAAATGAGACAGTTTCGCCATACACAATGATTGAATGTCTAAGAGTGAAAGACACCAGTGTATCCAGAACCTTGCCCTTCGGTGCCTTTCATCTGCAATGAGATATTTTTCACATATATCAAGTGCTCTCGACATTAGCCTGGGCTCTTTTTGCAGTTTAATTCAGAAACAGCAGAAACTGGTATGTGAATGGAACAATAGACTAGAAGCTACATGTTTGCCAAACAGCTCCTGAAATGCACTATCTAAAAGAAATACACAATCCAGTTTACAATGCCTATTCAGAATGAAGCCCCTGCAAGATCAATGGGGCCTACTCCCAGGTAAGTGTGCACACTTAACATCGTATTATGCGTCCTCCATCAGTTAGAACTCAGCATTTTCACTCACTTCCACTTCACTGTCTCCCTTTATTCTCTCTCAGCATCAAGACAATGCACCAGATGGCTGTTTTCACAAGACTCCTGCTACCTTCTCCCATTGCCCATTGCTAAATACAGCTCGTACCACCTTCCAAAACCCAGACTACATTCATCAGATTCAGCCTCAAACTACCATCTGGCGCAATCACACAGAGACTGCTGGAGCCTATTCAGTTTTAATATGTCAGAACATTCTCTTGAAGAATGCGCAATAATAAATCATGAACCCCTCAGATCATCACCAGCGGCCTCCATTTTTTATCCACGTTAATCATTCCATGTTGAAGTAATTTCTGTTCCCAGAGGACATTGAGCAGCATTGACAAGCTAACGCTCAGCCCGCAATACCATCTCACCCTTCTTCCAGGGACCTCAGGACAGTGTACATGCTGCAGTACCATTTTATCCTAACAATGAACTATCCTAGACCTGGGATAGCTCAGTCGGTAAAGCATGAGACTCTTAATCTCTGGGTCATGGGTGAAAGATTCCTGTACTAAGGTGTTTGGATGAGATGACTCTTGTGGTCCCTTGTGGACCACTTTTCTGAAGTTTCTCTTCATGACAACCCAATCAAGTAGAGTTGAGAACTAGTGACTTGCCAAGGCCATTCAATGAGCTTCAATAGCTGAGTGGGAATTTGAACTTGGGTTTTCCTGGTTCAAGACCAGTGGAGGCAGGTCTGTTAGGGTAAATGAGGTACCACCCCACCAACATCAGTCTGCCTACAGTCAGCCCTCATCTGCTGGCCTTCTTATAGGCAGTTCAGGAGCATCACTAGCTGTCACATCAACCCCCACCCCGACTTTAGTTTTAGTGCTGCCCTTGTAGAATTCTGCAGGGAGAAGGATGGAGGCGGAACTAGAATTGATTCCACCTGTCATTGGCTCGGGCTACACCTGCTGTTGGTCACCCTGTATTCAGCCCTACTGGTCCTAATAGGCACTAGCTTAGGGTTGCCATACATCCGGAATTTCCCGGACATAGCTGGCAATCAGCCATCGGAAACAGTGAAAGGGCGGGAATCGCTGAAACGTCCAGGAAAATAGAGACGTATGGCAACGCATGTTGGTAGTGTCATTTTTTGTGATTTCCCTTAAAAATAGCTCAAAAACTTCATTCCCCTCCCCCTAGATTTTGCCAAGAAAAAGCTCAACAACTTTGTCAAAAAAAGCTAAACAACCTTTCTGTCCGGATTTTCGCCTTTTGAAATAGGGCAACCTTACACTATGATCCAAGTCCATCCAGTCAAGATTTTTTTTTTAAAAAAAATCCATAATATGTACAAGCAAATTTTTAAAACTCAGTGAATTAGCAGGGCACATTCTCTTATGAGGAAAACCCTCACATCTAAACAGAAGAGTACAGTACTAGACAGCAGCCTCAGGGACAAAACTAAACACGAAGTGTGGCCAAAGTTCCTGGCATTCTTTTTCTTTAGTTAGAACTGTCTGTGGGAGGTTGCTAACTTGATTAGGGAAGTGGCACTGGTGGGATGAGGTTAAACCTTTTCACCCTATGGTATTTCCCAACTGGCTCAATGGAGGCGGAGGAAGGTAAGGTCCTCCGTGGAGCGCAAAGCAGCTTCAGAGAGAAAGAGGTATTAACCTGGAAAATGGAAAGGGGTGAAAAACTCATACATGCATCTGTATCATTGCTTTCTCAGTGACGTTAGAATCCCCACACAACTGCTTTGAAGTAAACAACAAAGGAGATCCTGATCATGCATCTCCTGCATCCACATAAATACTCTCCTCATCAGTTGTGCTAGAAATAATTTCCTGCACTATTTAGCTGGTTAATGTATTGGTCGCAGCTGTGGCAGCCTGTGAACCTAACAACTCAAGCAGCACCACTCAACTGCTTAGTAACAGAAAGGATGGAGAATAAACCAGAGAAGCCGCAATGTTTTTCCAGCACAAAATGAATATAAGAAGCAGAAGCTGAGGTGGGGGGGGCATAGATATTTATTGTGTGTGTGTGTGTGTGTGTGTGTGTGTGTGTGTGTTTCTCACATTCTCCCAGCCAGATGGGTTATTTTTAAAACACAAATGTTCATGCTTTACGTACATAAACTAGTGTATACATATTAATTCTAGAGCTCTGTTTAAGGGCTTGTCCACCCCAGAGAACTGTGCAAGTTGTTTGCATTCCCATTTAATTTGTATCATCCACATGACATTATGCTCAAACGGCACCAATATTGATGCTTTCCCCATGTAGATTCAGGTTTTCCTGACATGGTTAGAATCAAATTAATTGGAGAAATTTTTTGTTCCAAACTGCTTCACTCGGACTTGCAGGCAATTTGTTTCAGTGTTTTTTTGAGTGGGTGGATCAATAGTCACCTTTTTGCTATTCCCCTGTCCACTCCCACTCTTTCCTTAATGCTTTCATTTCTTTTCCGGCTGTGCTTGTAACTATTTCCAGCATACACACATTCTTTTGATCCCTCAGATTTGCGCAAATCTAGAAAGCCACACAAGGAAAACATATTAGAAATTTCTACACCACATACAGCTCAGCAATCTGAAAAGTGTGTGTGCTGAGAATTTACTATTGCTTTCCATTCTTTTCTGTCCATGCTCATAGCTATTTCTGATGAGCTCTTGAACAGAGGAACATGGCCTTATACATATACAGTGGTATCTTGGTTTGCGAACGTAGGTAATCCGTTCCGGAAGACCGTTCGATTTCCAAAACGTTTGAAAACCAAGGTACCACTGTATTTGCTCTGTACATTTAGAGCAATATCATACCAGTTTAAACAGTCACAGCTTCCTCCAAAGAATCCTGGGAACTGTGGTTTGGTTAAGAGCACTGAGAGTTGTTAGGAGACCCTTATTCCCCATCAGAGAGCTACAATTCCAGAGTTCCCAGGAAGAGGGATAGAATTGTAGCTCTGTGAGGGGAATAGGGAGTCTATTAACATTTCTCAGCACCTTTCACATACTACAGTTCCCAGGATTCTTTGCAGGAAGCCATGTCTCTTTAAAATAGTATAATATGATTTAAATGTATAGTGCAGATGGGGCCTATATCGTTTGATCCCTCAGATTTGCACAAAACCAGATAATTGCAAATGTTTATGCTCAGAACTTGTTGCCTGGCTGTGTGCTCTTGCACACTTCTTGGGTGGTTAAAAAACAAGGTATCTGTCCGCACACTCGGTTGGTATTTAATCGGCAGTGACAAACACAAATGGGAACATGTGCTGGTATGAACAGTAAAGACCAAAGTTGCTCCTCATATTCAGATTCAAATATGCACAGGTGTGAACTACTCTGGTCCAATGTGAATGGTGCATAAAGTGGATTAACAGCTAATTAATGCTTGACTGTGGACAAGGCCTATGGAAATACAAACTAACATTAACCATAGTGAGCTGTGGGCTGACTTGCTTCACATTGCAGTTCAGCCTGCAATGAATGGATTGCTTCACCATGTTCCTAGTTCCGAGTGAATGGCACTCGGCAGTCTCCAGGTTATGAAATCATTTATGTATTTTCTATATTTTATATCATTTCACTGGTGCCTTCTGAATATAGGAAACTTTTTTAAAAAAAACCTGGAATACTAATTCACCAAAATATTATGCTTGGCATTCCCAGTAGCTTTACAGCACTTTCTTCCATAGATATCAAGGTGGTCCAAGCCTGGTAAATATCATCACACCCTTTTGCAGTTGCAGTGCCTACAAATGGCTTTTGTGTGCGCTTATAAAGTACATTATTTCTTTTGGGTACATTTTGTTTCAAGCCTTTTTTTAGCAAGGTATGTTCTAAAATAACAGAGAGCAACATAAAACAAGTCAGGCTTTCAAAAATAAAGATCATTATTTTTTCCACAGAAAATCTGCTAAAAATAGTGATCTCTTGAGAATATGAAAAGCAGAGAGAGTACTATATTGGTCCTGTGACATTATTCATATTCAAATACAAAACCCATTAGACAATCACCCCCGCCCACATTGTTTCAATAGTAGCTATTCAAGCTGAATGCGTGTTTAAACAGATTTTAATGAAACCTAACATGTCTTTTCAAAGAAATCTAGTTGTCACTTTTTCTTTCTTTTATTGTTGTTTTATTTTAAAAGACAATAAAATTATAGAATTCAGAAAGATGGCAAACATACATTCAAGAGAGTGACCAAAAACAACAACCTCATAACAAATTCCTTCCAATACAGTACATCTAATAATACTGACAGAATCCACTGAACTAACAGACAAGGATCAAAGGGACAATGAGCAGACGGTTACAAATTCTACCAAATAAACTCATACTTAGATGGAATGAAAGTCCAAAACAGTCAGGGCCAGCCTATGAGATGTGGTCAGGCAGTTGTCTCAGGGCAGCAAGGCCACTTCACACCCCCTAAGCACCACCACTGAGCACCTCCTGGGTGCTCACCTCCATTGAGTCCTCTGTCAGAGGGCTGTCAGTCAAAGACTGCCCAGAGTGAGGAATTAACTCTTTATTGTCAAAGGTACCCTTTGACAACAGGAAAAGACACGTCTCTCTATGGGCATAGCCAGGGAGGGCAGCTGTCCCCTGCCCAGATCAAGAAAAACAATGGAAATACTTAACTGACCAAACACGTTGGTTCTGAGCCCCCCAACAAAAATCCTGCCCCCCCAACAAAAATCCTGGCTGTCCATCAGTCCTACACCTTTCAGGTTCCCCTCGGCATGCACCCAATGAGGCAGTTGCAGCAACAAAGAGGACCCGCCCCCGACCTCAGCATATATATCTTCCCTACCCTGTTGCTGCAGCTTCTGCTCACCCTTCTTCATTCTTCTCCTGGTCCTGGGAGACAATGGTGCAGGAGAGGGCAGGAAGAGGAGGTGTAGAAGCCCCTGACTCTACATCAGTCTGACGGATCTCTCTCTCCTCCTGCACCTGTTTCTTCACTCTCCAATCCTGCAGCTTCTCTTGCCTCTGAGTCTCAACTCCTGGTTCTTACAGGTTGCCCTAGTTCACTGATCCCTTCTTCCAAGTCAGTCTCCAACCCACCTTATTCTGGTGCCTACTCATCAGTATCCAGCCACCCCTCTCCAGTGTTTAGCAATTCCCTGACACACTCGTTGCTGGGTGCTTGCCAGTGCCAGGTGCCTCCGCCTGCTCCTCTGCCACTGCAGTCATGCCCACCGTTGCGCCCAGTGTTCAAAACTCCCATTGTTCTAGGCGCGCTTTGCGACAAGGGATTTCATTAGCACAAGCCGTTTCTGAGCTCTGGGCACAGTACTGGGCCTATGATTTCAGATTAAAACTGCAGATTGGAAGGAAAGGAGGACCTTTTTCTGCCTCCCCACTTCCAGCATGGCTTTGTGGGTTTTTTTGCAGTCTTCAGATTAGGACTAGACCATGTGAAAAATGAATATAAGATTTCAGCTGAAGTTAATTCATTTTCAGCTTTGTATTCTTGTTATAAAAAAAGTGTGCCTAGGCATTTCCTTGTTGTGCCCATAACCTAGGTTTAAGGTGCCATTTAGCTCCCAGCTTTCCTATCTCAGTTTCTAACAATGTTTGCTTCTCCTACTCCACCATCGCAAGAAGAAGCCCTGATACACTGGTGCCAGCAGGTGGGCGGTGGCACATCCACCACAGTGGTGGAGCATAAGGAGACTGTAAGCACCTGGAAACACGTGGCGAGCTGCAGGCATTAGGTACCTGGTGGCAGCAAGTGGCAAGCGCCTGGTGGTGAGGAGCAGGAGGTGGCAGTGGATGCAGCAAGGCTATGCTGGGGGTTTTGCCTCAAGCGGCAAAATGTCCTGAGCAGGCCCTAAAAAACCGTCGTTTCTTCATGTGTGAAATAAACTTCCACCAAATTGCAGCAAAATCCTCTGGGTCTGCCTGGCCTCTGAAAGTCTTTAAATGATGGGTTAGCTTCTCCAAAATGGCAATAAGCAATGCCTTTGAATACTACCTATCCAAAGGAACACACAATAAATCTTTCCAGCCCTATGAAACAACCCATCAAGCTGCAACCGTTAAATAAATTACTAGCTCCAGGTCCTGAGCGACCCACCTGATACCAGACCAGTAAGGAAGCCATTTAGAAGGAAGACAATTTTGAACCCTTTTAGAAATACATTTACACCAGAAACAAGAAGTACAACTATATATTGCAGTGAAGTTACGTATAAAATAAGTATGTGCAAATCTGTGGCTTTTAACATGATCACTCTAATCGATGTAAGGGTAATGGGCAGCCATACCTGCATGGGCAATAGAGCCCATAAACTGCTGCTATTTGTGCAAAATTACCTGATTCACCAAAAAAATGTGCATCCCCGCTTGATTAGACACTCCGATCAGCTGCTCAGGACATGGCAAGAACAGAAGGCTGCTGAGAAGATAGCGTAATGACGTAGTTCAGTCACTATGTAGTCCTGTACTTAGCTGTATCCGGGTGGAGTTTCTTGTTAAGAAAGATGAAAAAGTTCTTGCCTAGCTTCCTCCAAGCTTTCCGTGGTAGAGGCATTTAGGCTGCTCCCTTCCTCGCTACCCATAAACTTAATCAGATCCCCTGGCTGCTACATACACAGAGTTGGGTTGGGGCAACTGTGTTGCTTTGTAATCTATATCTACGTTTAAGAATGCAGTATACTGTACACTGATCAGCCATGGTAGCTTTGGTGAGGTAGTCGCAAGAATTGCTTGCTTGCTTACTTGCCTGATTATGTCTGAAGTATGCATGAACATCAAAAGAGAACAGCATGTAAATCATTCCTAATCTTACGAACCTATCAATTATTCAGAAGCTTAGTTCTTCTTGTGCTCCCTTATAGGCAGGTCACCATGACAACATCACATTTCAGTTCCTTATCTTAAGTAAGTGAACTCTGCAAACTAACATTAGCTTCAACTGTTGCATTACTTGATGTGGCACCATATCACCACATAATCACTAGGCAAATGCCAGTATTTGAATGCAGCTTAATTTGGTTAGGTCCTCTAAAGAATACAGGCATACTGTTGTTTAAATGTGCATGGGAATAAGCCCTTTAACCAACTAGATTTCAGTTAGCTAGAGTGAGGTCTTTCTTTCTTCACACTTAGGCAAGCAGGAGTTGTTGGCAAGACCAAAAAATGAGAGAAAGCAATATTTTGAAAAAGAACTTCAGGCACATCAAAATAAACATACCTTGGCATGCTAGGAATATATTACTCCAATACCCAAGACAATAAACAAGAATTAAAGATTACAGAATCATAACTACCTAAATTATATTGGGCGGGGGGAGGGGATCAGAAACAGACTTGTCTTCCAGTATGACAGAAACTGCCGCAAACATGGTGCATTTATCAGCAAAAGACTCCCAAAACCTGAAAGAGAGAGTAGGTTCTATTTTTAATAAATAAGAAAGATGAGAACATGGGGCAAAGCTATCTCCAGACCACAAAGCATCTACTGCAGATGTATTGTCCGGGATATTTTAAGGCGTTCAAATATTGGCTCAAACCATTTCTTTTATTATGATCAGTGCTCACAGGGCCTAATCTGAAACCAGTTCAGCTCTAAAATATTAAGTCTATTTTACTCGTTTTAACTATGCCTTAGTGTTATGTGCAAACACAGACTCTTCCTTAACTATGTTTTAAGTGTGGTGGCCTGAAAAGGGCCATTTCCTCCAAAAAATTGTCCAGTCCTCTTCTAAAACTACTCAGGTTGGTGGCTAACACTGCCTACTGTGGAAGTGGGTTCCATAGTTTAACTATGTGCCGCGTGAAGAAGCACTTTACTTTATCTGTCCTGAATCTTCCAACACTCAGCTTCACTGGCTGTCCATGGATTCTGGTGTTATGTCATGCAGAATTTTATAAACTTCTATCATGTCACCACTTCTTCCTTGTCTTTTCCCTAAAGTCCCAAACTGCAACATTTCTTCACAGGGGAGTCATTTCAACCCCTTGAACATTTTGGTTGCCATTTTTTTGTTTTTAACCTTTCCAAACCCTACAATTAGGGCTGGGAGATATCTCAACAGCTAAACATTGTGATATATCAGTATATCACGATGTCTGAAATAAGAATGGAATTATGTAGGGATAAACACTACAATGGCCGTTTTGAGGTGAGCTGACCAGAACTGGATGCAGTATTCTGAATGCAGTCACATCATAGATTTGCATGAGGTAGCCTACCTCATAGGACACATGGCGAAGGAAAATGTGCATATGTGCAGTTCATGCTGAGATGCACTGCACACACCCCTTTATGGCTTCACCTACATGTTGCACAAAGTCATGGCTTTGCAGAAGCTCTAGGTTAAATTGCATGTCATCTGGACCTGTGCATATGGTTTAGCTCTCCCAAAGAAACCATGAGTCGGAAGAAGATGAAAAAGAAGTCGCCGCCGCCACAGGACAAACCTTGGCTACAGATTGTGTTTAGGAGAGGGTGACATGACATACAGATTTTCAAGCTGACAGAAATGCCAAAAATGATGTCATTCTAGTGTCAGTTTTGTGTCATCTCGCTCAGTAACCATGCGCTAGTCCAGAGTTGTTGTTCATGTCTGTCTAACATAATTACAGTGGCAACAATCTAGAGAGGGGCAGCTAGATCGACACACACCCAGAATTGCTACAAGATTATTTTACATGTGAAATGGAAACTGATCCCATGGATGCCAATCCTTGACGGGGTGGGGGAAGTAGCATGTCAAAATGCCCCAAAAATATACAGTGGTACCTCGGGTTAAGTACTTAATTCATTCTGGAGTTCTGTTCTTAACCTGAAGCACCACTTTAGCTAATGGTGGCCTCCTGCTGCTGCCATGCCGCCGGAGCACGATTTCTGTTCTCATCCTGAAGCAAAGTTCTTAACCCGAGGTAATATTTCTTGGTTAGCGGAGTGTGTAACCTGAAGCATATGTAACCCGAGGTACCACTGTATATTTAAGAAGAGGAGTCTGAATGTCACCAGCTCTCAATATTTATTTTCTAATTTGTATTACTTTTCTAAGGGATTTAGGACTATTGTCAAGTTCTATTATTTATCTTTCCATGTATCAATTTCATTTCCTGTTTAATCTATATAAATATGAACCCTTCAACTGGAGAAAAATAGTCGCCTTATACGTGATTTGAAGATTAATCTGTAGGTGGCATTGGATAGCAAGAGAAAAAGATTGTGTGTCTGATATAATTTTTTTAATGTCCCTACTACTGTTCACTGTATCAGTTCATCATAATCCCAGTATGGATTGTTTATGAATTATTTCGTACAGAGACACCATCTGCACGCAAAAGACTGCCTGGCCTGCAAGCCATTAATATATTTTAAAGACACACAGTATATTTTCACAAAGCAGTACACTATGTGACTGAAAAGATGGTTTTGACTGACTCCAATTTTACATATTTTTCTTAATGCTGAATATTATCTACAACAACAGTATAGAGAAAGATGTGACCAGTGGTCTGACTCAGTACATGGAAGCATCCTATGTTCCAAACACTCTGTGAATTAGCTCATTTTCATTTATGAGTGGAAACAGTAGGTAAAAAAGAAGAAGTTTATCTTTGCCACTTGCACTTGCTCAGTCTGTGTCTTACCTCTAAAAGATGTGTCTCTCAGGAATATTGAAACCGGAGGATATACAGTGGATTTACATGTCACACGAAACCAAGCCAACTTCAAACCGTATTGTTAGGAGTTTGTGGGTGCTATACACCTGTAATCCCTAGACCCAGTGTTAAGTTGTGGGCGAACATATCAGACGACACAGCGATTCTTCCAAAGCAGGTCTTTATTTGTAAGCTGGAACAGAACTAACTGTTGCCATTTTCTAAAACTAGCCAATCACTGAACATCACTTTCGATCCTTCATTTGCATACAAACTATCCAATCACTGAACGTCACTTTTGAGCCTTCATTTGCATAACCATCTACAGTATCCTCCTGCTGGCCCAGGGTGAGAACTTCAGTACATAACACCCAGCATGTGTCAAAATGTAAGACAGACTAACTTCCTGTGTTGAGGTGATTGCCTGAGTCATTAAGAGAAGAAAGGGTCAAGGGCTTGGTGCAAGATGATAAATTGGTGGGGGCCCCTCCCTCAACAGGCAAAGCCAGAGTTTGAAGTAGAGTTTTGGAGCAGTAATGTGACCTAGAAATAAAGCACCAAGGCTGCGGCTACGGAAGAAATGAGGCCCTTTTGGGGTGTTGACACTGATTCCCTCCATCACAGACTCGGGTTGTAATACTGTGTATGTGCAAATAAACCATATGTCCTAAAGACATCCCAGTCTCCACTGCGCCTCATTTCCAAAAGGAAGCACGAACCCTGAGTAAGTGCCTGGAACTCCTGGAAGCTGGCTTTTTAAAACTAACGGGAGTTTCTTTAAATAAAAAAAACCCTGGTGATAAAAAAGCACCAGGTAGAAACAGTGCAACAAACAGAGATGCAGTGAAAGCTGCCAAAATAAACCTCCCAGCTATGCAAGGTGTGTGTAGCACTATATGAGAATGCAGCCAGGGACATTTCTTGTGACTTCCACTTCATCCAGCCAACTTGCATGTGACTTCTACTTTACAGTATTATCATATTTCATAATACAACACTAGTAAAGTTTGGCCAAATCAGCTGTTACTTTGTACATCGCATTGTTAGACATAAGTGCCTTCTACCTATGATGATGGAGAAACACCATGCAAAGACTGTTTGTGCAGAGTCTTGGCAGGCTGTTTCTCCATCATTGTAGGTAGAAGCTTGGACAGTGGTCAAAACATTGAGCTACAAAACAAGGAAGTCTTCCATTTGAACCTCACCTGTGCTCTGAATTTATATGGTCATCTTAGAAAAGCCACTTTTCTCCCTTGCAACAGGTCATTCATCCCCATCAACTCTGTTCACAGTATGACCCACCTTACAAAGTTGCTATAAAGACACTAACCACATGCAGTGGGCTGACTGGGGAGGTAATGCCAAAACTATGCCGGGATGGGAACTCTTAATCTGCAAATGGAAGCTCCCACACGTTGTGGCTCTCAAATCACATCCTGTTTCCTAAATAAATGTACTGTAGGTATACCCACAATGCAATGAAAATCCTTCTGTGCTAACAGTGTGGTTGGCATCAATAGTCAGAGAGATCCTTTTTTTTTTCTTTTGAAATGTAATATTGCTAACTTCATAGATACCCATGTTATGTGTTAAAAAAAAATCTAAAGGCAAATGAAATACTGATTTGTGGCATGGGTATTGAAAGCCAGGTGTAATAACAAACATTGAAATTTAGCAAAAGCAAAGAAGGCACTTGTTTTCATGATGCAAAATGTAATTTAATAGTATTGCTCTTTACACTGTTCAAAAATACTGCAATATAGTGTTATACTGATAAAATCCCTCCAGTCCTAATTGCACTGGAACTGTAAATATATTTTTAGCCTAGGAGTATGTAAATATATTTTTAGCCTAGGAGTATGCATCCCGAATATACAATATTAAGATAGGTTGATCCTGTCATGCAAATGTTACACACTTCAAATGACCCTCCTTAGTCTTCAAGAGGGCTTTCAGTGTACTTACTGATCCACAGATCAAGGTCTTACTTGGATCAAATATTCTGAAATGGTGACATCCATTGATGTTAAGTAGCATCCCCTTTTCCAAATTATTGGTTTTAATTAAGACCACTATCGGATCTTTAACTCCTTTAAAAACAACACATCTGATGTGCTACAAATGTATTACCAAAAACTCAAATAACATAATAATTTGGGAAAAAATTGTACATGTCATAAAGGTACCACCCTGATCCAAAATATTCCAGTGTCAAAGTAATTGTCCCTGTGCATTTTTTGTGCTATAAATACATTTCAAAACTTACAGTGACTTCAGTGTAACTTCCAAGCAAATATACTTTAGGACCACAGCCTACATCAGTCTAGACAGAAAGCATCAAAATTACCCTATTTAGTAATGGGCATTAAAATATCATTAGAAATAGCTGATGAAGTCACTTCCCTTTCTGTACTTAAATATGGATTAAACTATTTATAAAGGCACACAACTATAAAATGTGTCCAAAAATAAGTTATCTGGCACACGGAGCATATGGCAGGCAGGATATTTCTCAGGCCAGAGAGGGCAGCAACCCACAAATCTATTACCATCCAAGTGGTCATCATTTAGATACTGAAGACGGACAAATAAACGAATTCCTGAAGAGAGGAGCAGCTCTTAAGGCACCCCCAGTTTCCTTCAAAGGGGAGAAAAAAGGAAGAGGAAGGGGCGCTACGCCTCCCACTGGATGAGGAGAAACAGCTTTTGCTGTTCTTGTGGCAAATCCTGCTCTCACAGAAGGATGGGTACAGTCCAAGGGGCAGAGAAAGGAGAGAGGAGACAGTGAGGAGAGGACAAGAGGGAGGCAAGTCCTTCAGTCAGTGAAGAGGTCTTAGTGGAGTGGGAGATTTAGCAGCTCTCTAGGGTACTGGAAAGGGGAAGTCAGGAGTGCCAACTTGAATAAAATATTGGGGTGGGGGACCAGGTAAGCCCCGCCCTGCATAATCGATCACATGACACAGTGCACACACACCATTTGAATGGCAGTGTCCATCAACTTTGGGGGGGGGGCTCAAATATTTTACTGGGGGGGCGAAGACCTCCTCCGCCCCTAGGAGTTGGCTCCTATGGGGGAAGTCATCGTGGCGAAGCGGGAAGGGAGCAGAGAGTGGGTGATTCTTGGAAGGACCTCGAGGGAGGGAAGAAGGGGATGTTAAAAAACCCCCAAAAAAACTCCACACCTGGAAACCTCGCCTGAATTTAGAGGAGGGAAGATGATGGGGTGCAATGAGGATAACTCCTAACTCCCTTCCCTACTCGGGAAACTTTCTCCAGGGCTCCAAATGCAAACGGAGACCAACCTCTGGGGAGGGGCTGGGGGACCCTCACCCCTTCCGAGGCGCGGCTCCCCATTAAAAAAAGAGAGAGGGAAGCAGTGGGCTCGAGCCTCCTCGTGTGGAGCCCATTCCTTCCCTGGACTCACCGTATCCTCGCCTCCGCCGGGGCTGCCGGAGGTGGCGGTGGAGGAGGAGGAGGCGGAGGCGGCGGCGGCAGCAGCCGGTGGCTCTTCTTTTTCTTCTTCTTCTGCTTCCCTCCCTTCTGTCAAGAGGAGCCCGCCCCTCACTCTCCCGACGCTGCGCCGGCAGGGCCCGCCCCCCACACCGCCTGGCGCCGCCTCGCCTCTCACCTGCTGCCCTTTCATGAAGAGGGGCTCCGAGAGGCAGCGGCGGGGAAAGGAGGGCAGGAGCCGCGCGGCGCGGCCTGCTGCTTTCGCTCGCTCTTTGCGCGCGGATTCGATGGGGAGCCTGCGAGCCACGCGCGCGCGCTCCGAAGTTGAAAGGGAAAGAACAAAGGAGGAGGCTGGCTCCACCATTCCCGGTCGTTACTCTTGCGTCATCACTTTTTATAAGGGTAATCAGAAGGCGCCTCCTGCCCCGAGCAGCTTACAATCGGCATTTGCATTGGGTGCGGGGGAGACTTCATTGCAATTTATTATTTGCAATTCCACCCTTCTCTATAATCTCGCTCACACAAGCACACATCATAACCCCATTTTATATTTGCAACAACCCAGCGAGGTATCTGAAAATTAGTGATTGGTCTGAATCTGACAAAGAGGGCAGCTGCTGCGCATTCTGCCTAGTGTCACACTGACCACCTGTATCTCGGGGGTGAATTTTAGTACGCCCCTGTTTTTGCGTTTGTTTCAGAGCATTTTTTGTTGACCCCAGGACTGTAAACTTTAGCATGAGGCAAACAAGTACAGTATGTCCAAACTGTTCTGCAAGCCCCACACTGAGGTAGTTCAGTTTTGCTGATTTTTATCCGTTTTATTGATAATTTTATTATGCACACGGCTTACAGATTTATCTATAATCTTTTCTAAGTAAATAAAGAGTGTTTTCAGTCACTTGAAATGTAACTTTGAAAACAGCCCCTTATAAACTATGTATATTCTAATAGCACTGCAAAGATTCCAAGTGCTTGTAATCAGAAATGGTTCAAGAAATGTCAGAAAACCCACTTGGCTTTCATTGCCAGTAAAGTATAGTAAGGTAACTTATAATTACTGAGCCTCAAACTGGCTGCCTGAGGTGACCTGCCTCACCCTTCCTAGTGGTACAACCAGACTTGCATGTACTCTCTCTCTATATATATCCATATATGAGAGGAAAATATACAACACTATATGATACACACACACACTTAGGATCATTCCACCTTTTCATTCTGCCTTTCCACTGCGTTGTGTGAAACTACAAAATCTGTAGACCAACCTAGGATAGTCCAATAAGATGCTATTTTGCATACATTATAACCCTTCTGGTTCCTCCAAGTTTTAAATCTGTATTAATCTAACATATGAAGGATAAAAGATGAGAAACCAGAAGGAAACTAAAGTAAATGTATCTTTTGAACAAGCCACTGTTGGTCATGCCCCAGTGCTCAACATAATGAATGAATGCAGTTGTATGTATAGTGTCGATATTTTAGAGAAAGAGAAGAAGGTAAAAAGTTAAGAGAGGTTTTGTGCTTCAAAGACCAACACATTTCTAGGTAAGCACACAGTTTAATGAAGGCAGCTGCACACTAAAGATATGAGTCAAGGAAAAACAACAACAGGACTGTATTTCCAGAATGTTATGAGATTTTGGAGAGTTTGCTACTGCAGGTCTTCAGAAACTGGTGTTTTGGTTGGCCCATATGTACAAGATTATCTCTGCTACTGAGTACAGATGGTTTTGTTTTCACACTCAAGTACATGTCACGAAGAACTAGCCTGCTACTCATTTACCAATCCAAACAAGAAAAAGAAACAGTCCTTTCCTTTATTGTGTAAATATAGACCTCACTGTACACTGCATCCTCCCAACACAGAAAATATATCCACCTGTGCTGCAATTAGGCTTGAAAGTTCTATTTCAAGAGAAATAGTTTTTCTGTTGTTGTTGTTGTTTCTATTATTATTGCAGAGGGAGGGACGATCTTCCTGGTGCATTTACCTGGGGAGGGGAAGGTTAAATCCCTCTGGAAACTTGGGTTGAAAAAAGCTAGCATTCCTTTTGGAAGTCTAATTGCTATGGGTAGAGGGAAAGTGAGTATGCATGTGTGTATACACATGCACACACACATATGAGCATGCGTTGTGTGTTTGTAGTGTGCGCTTTATGTAGGCGTACATATTGTGACTCGTTCCATCCTCCCGCTGTGTCCACATCTGACCATAGCTGTCAACTTTTCCCTTTTCTTGCAAGGAATCCTATTCGGAATAAGGGAATTTCCCTTTAAAAAACGGAAAAGTTGACAGCTATGCATCTGACCTGTGGCTCCCAGGGGGTTAGCTAAGGTTAATGCAGTGCTCAGACCCAAAAGAGGTTGCTTATTCCTGCTTTAATCTGTCATCCTAATATGCTCATATAAGCCTTATGGTAATATTCACTGTGCAAAAATGTGTGTCATGAGTGCAGAACTGTTAACGTGTAGGTGCAGAACTGTTAATGTGTTCTTAACAGCAGAAGATACATTTCTCCCCCACTTCCTATATCTATAACTTGAATGTGAAACTTCCATTGGCTTCCATTGCATTTTCAGTTTAAAATTGGCCACTTTACACTTCCTATCTCAGGTAGACAATGATCTGAATTGAAATGTTCTATATTACAAGGGCATTTTAAAAGGTGGGTTGTGAAAACACCCCTGCCCCTCATGTCATCCAAGCCCATTAATTGGCTTCAGCACAAAGAGCAGCTCACATCGCAGCAGGTGTAGCAGAATCTGATGTCTGGCAAATGTCCTGTATTTCTGTTGCGCTCTTGTGAGTAATAAAATAACCATTGCCACTGAGAAATGCTCCTTCCTAAAGCACATTTCTTTACATTTTGTATCATTATGGAAGTAGCTTTTAGTCGTGGGACCAGAAGCCCTGACATGAACCCACTTGTTAATTTCACTGTGATCTATTGCTTAGTGAACCCGCACAAACGACATTTTTTATTCTCCAGTTCCTTCATTGTTTCCCCATCATTCCATTCTGCGTCTGTTAGTAGTAGCACAATGGAAGCAGCTAATACATGGCTCAAGGATCAATGTTTCATTCAGTTCCACTGTGCCATGCTTAGCACATTCAAAGCAATGGTATAAAACATGGGAATTGAAGGAAAATGGACAGAAACAACAAGCATAAGGAAGAAAAGGGAAACAACTAACTTCAGTAGAAAGAATGGATTTGTTCCTTTGAATTCAGACAGATTCCTCACCATTCAGAACAACAATAGAAAGAAATACCAGTGATTCCCCTATAACAGGCATGAGTAAAAGTAAAAAGGGATATTGGACACATTGCTAAGATGCTCTGCCTTGCTGTCATCCTTTACACTTTGTGTCCCAAAGCTTTGCCCCATATGTGGTTGTGCCAGGCAACAGCTTGGACCCACACAACAGAGGAAGCAAACCCTGGCATACTCCAGCTATCCAGCAGGACTTAGACCTGCCCTACTAAGTGGTATAGAAATTAAATAATCAAATGTGCATTGGGGTTTCACATGATACTCACTATTTTGAAAAACTCTTTCAGGCTGTGACCTTTAGCCTTAAAGAAGACTAGATGACATGCCCCAATTGATAAAGTGCTTTTCCTCTGGTGTGTGTGTGTGTGTGTGTTTGTGCACTTGGAATGGTGCAGGAGTGTTTTTATTTCAGTGGTGAAGAGTGCCTGTTGAATGGTTGTTAATGGAATCGGAAACAGAATCCAAAGGTTTTGGTTTTTTAAAAAAGCCAATAATATTCTGTTCAGTGCAAAATCCATATGGGGGAAAGATTTAGGGAAGCAAATAGGCATGCAACAATGGAAAATTATATTAATTTCAAAATCATTATGCTATATATCAGCATATAGTAGGGAAACATATTAGAACTATGAGTCATTAATAATTTTATCCATGTGCTGATTTTCCACAAAAAAGAATCAAGCTCAGAGCGGCTTACAACAAAGAAAACAGGAATGGCCCTCAAAATCAACCATTGCAAGAACCATTTCATAACATAACTGCAACTATGACATCATACCCCAAAAAAACACATTTTGGTACTATAAATAGAACAAGATTACATTAGCATCACACCTCCTGGTAATGGCAAAAATAACAAGGGAGTTTGACAGTTTCACCTTGATCCTATAAACACCTCTCCAATGATGTTCACAGTCCCTCTCCTGCAGCAGCTTCTTATAAGGCTTCCAAAGGCAGAGAACAGGATTGCTGGAAACACCTTTCCCATCCAAGTTGGTTGCCATGATATAAGTGGTCCCATAAGGTAAAGGTAAAGGTACCCCTGACCATTAGGTCCAGTCGTGGCCAACTCTGGGGTTGCGGCGCTCATCTTGCTTTATTGGCCGAGGGAGCCAGCGTACAGCTTCCGGGTCATGTGGCCAGCATGACTAAGCCGCTTCTGGCAAACCAGAGCAGCGCACGGAAACGCTGTTTACCTTCCCGCAGGAGTGGTACCTATTTATCTACATGCACTTTGACGTGCTTTTGTTTCATATGGTGATTGAGGCCTCTCCCAACTTCTGGAGAGGTTGCATCAATATGGGGTTGCGTATACATCTTTGATGAGCATGCCGAATTCTTTCTCACTTCTGAAAATCAGTTACAATGATCATAACTAAAGGAAAAATGTAACCCCACATCACAGTTTCTGTTGTTGACTTTTAAAGGACTGAAAAATAGACATTTATCAGGGGTCCTATTATGCATCATAACAATGTCTGCATGGATAGTCACAGGCCAGCATTGGGAAACTCTAAGGGAATTTCATGTTGACCCATGCTGCTGAAAGGTTCACACATCCAATTAGACTTTTAAAGGGATTCGAGATTCCAGATTGCTGTGGGGCGGGAGGAACAGTTTTATTCATTTTACAAGCAGTTGAGGATGTGGGTGTCAACCACTGGCTTTCTATTTGGAGATTGGATTAGGTGGTTTGTTTTTTGTTTTTTAAAGGCCTCTTGTTAAATAAGTGGTAAATAGGTGTTCTACCCTTTCTCCCATCAAGCAACTTGTTTAAAGGATATTTTTTTTAAATGCCTGACATCTAAGGAGCAGGAAAGGAGGCCAATGCCAAACAAATGCCAACAAAAGGAGCTGTCCAGCACTAGAGCAACAGTCTCAATCTAGTTTTGATCATAGCCTAGTGCATATATATGTTATTCTTCAAATGAGTAGTTACTTAAGGTTCTTCATTATCTGTAACAACAAATAATGATAAACATTAGAAAGGCAAGGGGGGGGATCCACCTAAAGTTAGAAGTACAATGGTAAGATCTTTCTGCCTCCCTTTATCAGAAGTAGGGAACCATCTGTGTCCAGATGTGTC